TCCTCTGTAGAACAGACGCAGTGATGACAGCAGAAAAATGGATCAGCTTTCGCTTTCCGTAATTAAAAATCATGCTTAACTGCAGATCATTCAGCAGCAATATCAAAGGACAAATACTGTGAAAAGTAAATTATCGCTCAGGGAGCCCTGTAGCTCAGCTAAACAATTAATTAATTCTTGTGTTTTCAAAGACTATTATTTAATTTCTATATTTTCATATTCAAATTATGTTGCTCAGAATTGGATACAAGAATTAGATATGGTTACGGATTCAAGTATTAAGTTTTTCAAATTTAAGATCTTTGGATACATAACGTGGGTTAAAAGTCGAATAATGCTATAATATATACAAGAATTGGGAGAATGAACCGAAGCCATGAGAAAGGTAATGGCAACCCAAGCTGAGAACCCCAAACCCAAACTATATTGCAGCAAAGACCAAACCACCCTAGAGCCTCAAAGATGAACATGTGAGAAGTCAAATCGAGCACGTCCACAGTCCAGAGAGCCTGGGTCCATAGTGCCAAAACAGTTCTTAGCAACCAGAGCCGAGATCCCCAAACCCAAACCATATTGCAGTAAAGACCAAATCACTCCTGAGTCTCATAGACGAACATGCGCGAAGTCAAATCGAGCACGTCCACAGTGTAGAGAGCCAGGATCCACAGAGTCAAAACAGTTCCTTTTCACACGGTTTAAATTATCAGTCATATCTTTTCAGATTTTTTTTTTTTTCAATTAAGGGTCATTTTTGGTAAGAATGATGAAGAGATTGTAACATATTTAAGCAGAAACTATATGCCATGAAGAATGAGCAGGTAGAAGGGGAAGTTTGACTAGAAAACAATGCATTTTTTGAAACAAAATACTATGAAATTAAACATAGTGGACAATAATCAAAAGAATATTTAATTATTTTTAATATTACAATAATTAATTACTTAATTTTGATAAACTGAAGGATTAGATTATAATTTATAGTTAATTCAAAGGCAAATTAGCCCATCCAAATAAGAGAAGTAACAGAATAGTTGGATTCGATTTAAAATTTAAACAGCATACTTGAAATTTGAACTCTGCATGTCTAGCGCGCTGGCAGTCACAAATGTGGCTCGTTCATTTATGTAAACTAGCAGCAAAGGAGATGGAAGCTTCTCCGAGAAGAGAGGATTTTCAAGAAAGAACTATGAAGTTAAATACCATGATATAAGAACATAAAATCCCATAAATTTAAGCATAACAGGTTTTTATTTGGATTTTGACCATCTAAATTACTCCATAAATTCTTCTGCTTGTTATCCTACTTACTAAGCATGGAAAAAACAAAAACATCATAAAGAAGCAGCTCATAGAAGCATCACTTTCCACTATTAGCATCACACTGAAGAGATTTTTTATTGTCTTTTGGCGGAAGCAATGAAAATCTTGACGCTTACTTAGAGTCTTCACAAATTCCTGGTTAATCAAGTGATTTAATCTCCAACTGATAGCGAAGGATCCCTCCAAAGCCACCAAATCCTCTACAAAAATGAGATCTTCCTCTGAATTTTCTGTGACAATCTCAAGTGAGCAACCGAATGGCTTGTACACATCCTCAAACCGTTCCAGAACAAACTTTTCGTCTTGTACCTCGAAGTCGATGAAGTGATTGAATCCTGGAAGTTGTTCTGATCGGCATCTTGCTCCCTATTCAAATGCTTTATGATAATCTCATCCATCTTGGTGTTTTTCAACACATACCGGTTTATATCCAATGAAATCTTCCCAGATCCCCAGACCCTTCACGGGATCCTCCAAGCCATACACAAACATCCTGAATGACTTCTTCCAAGACTTTCCAATCAAGCGCGTCTCCAGTACGTACTTCACGTTGGATAGAATCTCCAAGGACAAGTCAATGGCTTGATCGAAACCCCGTTTCTCCACCACACGAAACATTTTCAACTTTTAACACTTCAGCCTGCAGGCGAATATCAAACAAGTCAGATCGGCTCAGCTCTGTCTTAAACCCAGCGGAAAGTATTAATCCAGCAACATTGGGAAGTGATGTAGTATAGTAATACCGAGATTTTCCCTGTATAGAATATGTGAGAGATGCTTTCATGAATTAACAGGACTGAACAAAAAAAGAGTCTCGTTAGATAAATATATTGACTTAAAATATCAATAACAGAATATTTGACTATGGAATCGGGTTAAAATTTTACAATGAATTAATTCTAAAGGCCGTTTACGCATGGGGAGTGACTGCATTGCTCATTAGATTGTTGGATCTCCTGAAATTAAATTTAGAAATTGTTGTTTGGGTCAATTTTACTATTTCCCTAGTTATTTTTGAAGTTATTATTTATTTTTGGATTTTGTGTTGATTTTCTTTACTGAATTTTGTTTTCTAGTTTAGATGAAAAATCTATAGAAAAACATAATAAACTTTATTAGAAAGCTGACTTGATCAAATTATTATTTCAATAATAAAATAGAGTTTTAGTGTTCTCGGTGTTTTATCCTTAAATCAATCTATTTTCTGTCTCCTTATACCCGGTGCTGTCTTGTTGTGCTTTCACATGAAGGATCTATAAAATGCTTTATAGAAAGTTCTGCTGCCTTCCTAATTAACATAGTAGTGGCGGCTTTCTGTCCGTCGACGATCAAAGCGGAGAGCTGATTGACCACCCCTACCATGTTTCTATGGGAGCTCAACAGTTAACTTGCTAAGTACCTCTCTGCTGTTGCCACTTAATGTCCCCAATAGACTCCCACATAAATAACAATAAATCCAAACTTTCCATCAGACCAGGAGCTCATGCAATGCTTCTGCATGAAACTTCTTGTCACAGAGAAAGAGAGACTGACTGATAGGCTTAAAAGGTGCAAAGGAAAGAGTAAACTGCTTATCTTTTCCATCTTCATACAGCCGATCCAGAGTCAAGTACCAGTCCATTGGTGGCGATCTCGGTGTAAAGTTTAAGCTTCTGTAGGCATGAGTATTGCATCCTGTACAAACTTGATGCTCGTCCTACACTTGATGTTGGCCGCGATTCACAATTCCTTGCTAAGCATTTTTGTAACTTTACAGATCTGATCCCATGAAGGACGAGAAGTGAAATCATCTCGTTCTTTCACCTGTCTTTTCCTTTTCCACATCTCAATGCTCGCGTTAGCTTCTCGAATATCTTTCCATTTAGAGTGTGATTCTAAACTGTGGAAAAATACGTTAGCTATGAGCCAACCTGATAAGAGAGAAGTGTAAAGCTTAGTGACGAGGCTGGAAAAAATCTCGGAGAGAAGGAATGGAGGTGCTTTTCATTGACATATAAAAGTGTGCTCGGAGAACTTGGTGGGGGCGATGACTCTTGTTAGAAAAACACTTCGAAGTTTTTAGTCAGTATAATATATGTATAGATGACAGAGAAAGAGCTGTGTTTGTATCCAGAGAGAGAATAAATGGTATTCTCTTGGACTCAATTTTTTTTCAAGTTCTGTATTAAATTTGTGTTGACTTCTGCGTTGTCTAAAAACATAGAATTTAAAAAGATAAAGCTCAATTTATATGGGTTTTTTAAAATTAAACAGCTAAGATATTTAATTTAAATATCTAGGCTATTTATAGATATATTTGTGGTAGTAGCTTTTTGATGTATCATCAGATCCCCTAAGTTTTGGTGACACCTTTTATATATACAAGCTGTAATAAAAAATAAAAAATAAATAGTTTGTAGGCATAGCCATAGAGTATAGCCGTGGGCTTCCGTGGGCTTGGGGATGTTGGGGGTGTTATCACATATAGTCAATGACATGGCTGTATAGGTGCAGTCATGGGTGTAACCGCTAGTATAGTCACATGGAACATAGTTATTGATAAGTCTTTAGGGTAACCATAGACATGGTCACTGTCATAGCAATCAATGCATTGAAGTTTTGTAAATTATGAAAAGAATTTTTTAAAAATAAAAATAAATTGACTTTTCTTTTGGTTTTTACAAACAGTTCCAATAATAAATTCTTAAAAGAAAGATTAAAGTTGTTTTTTATAGATTAATAAAACTGAACGGGAAGGATTTGATGAGCCCGACCATACCTATAAGAAAAATAACATGATACTTAAGTCGATGTGATATTTGTAAAGGATAATGGGGAAAGTGAGATGCATCTATGTAGAGAGAGAATAAAAGATATTATCGAGACTTAACCCTGTTCAAGTCTTGTGTTGTGGTATTGTCTAGACATAGAATCTAAAAGGACGAGCTACGACAAATTTAAAGTTTAGAAAAATAAAGTTATATTTATATGGATTTTTTAAAGATAAATAACTTAATAAATATCTAAAATATTTATCAATATATATATATATATCGAATATTTATCAAAATATTTATTGAGTTGTGTAAAACACAAATAAAACGATTTATAGGGGTAAATATTGTTCACTTTCAGGCATCAAGATATCCCATTCCAATATCTCTTCAGTAATGACGATATCCTCTTAATTCCATGCATATATTGCTAATTAATTAAGATTCAAAAGAAACAAAATACTAGAAACATTTTTAGAACTTTTTTTTTTTGTTCCTGTTCGAGAAACATTAAGATCGTAATTGAAATAGAATAAATTTTAGCTACCAGTGCATGCTTTTTTCAATAGAGATATAGGAAAAGGAGAGAGAGAGAGAGAGAGAGGTTAATCCCAGGAAAGATGATTTATTTTTTTAATATAAATTTTTTTTTGTCACTAAATTTCTCTGTTACCTATTTCTTACAGGTAGGTATATCCTCTCACAGTAACAAAAGCCTTTCTTCAATGAGCACGGAAACGTCGGTTCAATATCGGTGACAATTAACTGCAGTGGATTTATTTTTTCTTTATTATTGTTTTGTTTTATTCACATGATAATTTGGAGGGGGGGGGGGGCAGGGGGGAGCAGCCCCGCGTAAATATGACATCTGTGCCTAATTTAATCGCCGGTTCCGTGCAGCTAACAAATAAAATAAAAATAAAAAAGCGAATTTGCCTCTTAAAATAAAATCTAAGTAGAGAGCGATAATAAAATAAAAATCAGGTACTGATAACGACAGAGAGAGAAAGCGGTTTCTTGCTTTCAAAGTAGATCACCGAAGCAAAAATAAAACCCAATTTTTAGGAGAAAGAATTAATTATAGTTAGGGTTTCAAGTTCTTCCCTTCTATTGACCAGAATCTTGATTTTCAGGTATATATGTGTGTTTATCGTCAGCATTGCTATCTGCACTTTCATCTTTTGCAAAATCAACTTGCTTTGTTTTGTTTTGTTCCTGTTATAAAGAAAGAAAGAAGAAGATGCAGAATCAGGAGGGACAGTTAGCAGCAGATGGAGAAACAGAAGTGACTTGTGAAATCGAAGATTGGGCAAATTTTGGAGGAGGAGATGGTGATATTACGCAGCAGCAATCTAGTGTTCCATTTGTTGGCGACAAGGCAATTCTTCTTCTTCTTCTTTTTTGTTTTTTGTTTTCCATTCCTGTATTATTAGTTCAGCTTGTTTGTTTTTCAATTGAAGGATATTTTGGGTGATTGAATTTTACTTTAACTACTACAGGAGCCCTTGTCTGCATTGGCTGCTGAATATCAATCAGGCAGTCCTATTTTACTTCAGAAAATAAAGGTGGTTTTCTTGTTATCATCATCATTGCGTGTTCTTCTTTGTTCTTTATGGTTTTCTTGAATTTAATGATTTGTTGATTGCTGCTGCTTGTGTAGGTGCTTGGTGACAAGTATGTTGCAATTAGGCGAACACGTGGAGATGGGAATTGCTTCTTTCGCAGCTTTATGTTTTCATACCTAGTATGTCATTGTATTTTGTTGGTTTCTATCCTTGTGCCTTTTGTTGGAGGGAGCACCATATTTGTAATTTACCCTCTTAAATGAGCCGTGGTTTTCTTGAGATAGGAGCATATTTTGGAGAAACAAGACCGTGCGGAAGTTGATCGAATCAAAGCAAATGTTGAAGAATGTAGGAAAACACTGCAGAGTTTGGGTTATGTGGACTTCACGTTTGAGGATTTCTTTGCGGTAAATTTATCATTTACACTCTGTTACTTTATGCAGGATGTATGCATTATCCTTCTTTGAGCATTTTTTGACATCTTAAAATGTTTCACTGTGTGCCAGTTATGCAACAAAGACATTGCTTACGAATTGGTTCCTAGAGTGAACCAAAGTCAATATTAATGCAAATGTACAAACAAATTTGTAGCAAACTGAGTTTTAGAATATGATGTGAACATTTGAACTCCATTCTTGTAAGTTCAATTGATGTGATGACTTGGAGTAATATTTTCACTCTTGACCATCTTGAGATATGATGGAGCTGTGTTCTGTGCATTTTACTTGAATATGCTCGCTTGATTTTTATTTCTACCTCATATGAGGTGGATTATTAGGAAATGAAGGCATCGATGTTAAGAACTGCTTGAATAGCTTGGTCACATAAACATTATGGAAAACGAAGATTGACCAGTATAATATTTATTCTATGCTTGGGACACGGATGAATTCAGTTGAGTTGATGGAAGTTTTAATGTTTCATTGAAAAGTTGATGCCTCTAAAAGTTAACTATCTTGTTTCATGTCTTGCTTTAATCTCAAGGTAAGATTAATTTTTATTTGAATTTTCAAGCAAAAGTATTTTAAGTTGTATCAAGCTTTCTTCATAAAAGCTTCCAAAAAAATCATACCTTCCTTCAAGGCTTTTATGCAAATGATCTGCAACTCTGGTTTTGTTGTCAAAAAATTGCAGTTATTTCTTGAGCAGCTGGATGATGTTCTTCAAGGAAATGAAACTTCAATAAGGTGCCCCTTTTCCCTGCTATACTATGCGTGTTAGCAGTTAGGAAATACAGCTTACTTTGGGATTTTAACCTCTCTTAATTACTCCCCAGATCCTGTATTTTTATTTGCAAACATGAGCTGATGTAGTGCTACTCAGGGCCAAAATATTAGGTTCTGTTTATTAATGCTAGTCAATTGACCATTTGAGTTTCTAAATATTAATTCTGTTTTCTTTTGCAGTCATGAAGAGCTTCTAAATAGGAGTCGTGATCAGTCTGTATCAGACTATGGTGAGTTACTTGATAAAGTGATGGTATGGATTGATGTTTTGGCTCCTTCTCCTAACAAATTCGGTTGGTTAGTTGTCATGTTTTTCAGATTTGTGACCTCTGGTGAAATAAGACGACGCTCAGAGTTTTTTGAACCCTTTGTATTTGGATTGACAAACACTACAGTTGAGCAGGTCTGTTCAATGTACTATAGTTTCTGGTATTACTTTCAAACATTTTCCATGCTTTGTCAGTTTTGTACATTATCTAAAAAATGAGGATGAATTGTTAGCTTTCACTAGCATAACTTAAACCAATGTCCTTTACATCGAGTCCACATCTCTCCTTACTTGGCCCTTTGTGTTAACTTTTTCAAAGTTTTACATTTCAAACCATAATTTTTTTTAATTACTATTTTGATGGCTCTTCTTGGTGGCAAGTTTATTATGATAAGAAATTCAGTATCATATATTTCAGAAATCTAATAATGACTGCATAAAATATTGGAGTTCCCAATTGATTTATCTGTTTTGCCTTAGTTTTGCAAGTCATCAGTGGAACCTATGGGTGAAGAAAGTGACCATGTGCACATTACTGCACTATCTGATGCATTGGGTGTACCAATTCGTGTTGTATACCTCGACCGCAGCTCTTGTGATACAGGTGGTGTCAGTGTAAATCATCATGATTTCGTTCCTGCACCTTGCAATCTCCCAGGTGCTACTGGTGCTGGTTCTGAGAACATCAATCCCTTCATTACCTTGCTTTATCGTCCAGGTCACTATGACATTCTCTACCCAAAGTGATACCTTTTTCCATTATGGTAAGCTGCTCTCATCCTTTTGGTCGTCATGGTGCCTGGGTATGGGTGGGCAGGTGGACATATTTTTATGTTATTGAGTCTAGCTTGTGTGCAGGCCATTAATGATGTCCAGGTGATGGAGGCTGTCAAGGTAAATTTGAATGGTGACAAGAAGCACAAGCTTGCAAGGCAAAGTACTTATTCTCATCTGTATTTTGTGCTGTACCTTGTGATAAATGTTCAAATGCTTCTGAATTCTCTGAGTGGAGACCTTAATGCAAGGTTGCCTGAAAGTAGCGGGCAGTCATCTGTTACAATTCAGGATTGAGCATGTCCTCACCTGTGTTTAATCATCTTTGTGAAATTTTATTTACTAAGAGAAAGGAAAAGAAACACTGGTGATTCTGGAAAATCTTTTCATTCTGTTCGATGCATGCTATCGCACTTTTCCTCCACTTTTTCAAAGGCATCAAACATGGGCAAATCTGAGTTGCCATAATGGAGGCTCAAGTACATGCATAGAGGTAGGAATGGTCTTTCGCCTCTTTGGTCCATTTTGGAGCTTGTCATATAGGTGTAAAGTGCTCACTTTTTGGTTCTGGGAAATTTGAGGCCTTACCGAGGGTTATGATCTATCAATCTTTAATAATTCAGATAAATCTGAAGCTAATTGCAGCCCTAAAACCGCCCTATGGTGGGGGGCTGCAAATGACCTGACTCACTCTTGAGTTGCTCAAAGCTCCGCTTGTTAAGGACTTGGTTTGAAGTAGAATCCAAGCATGACAAATTTTAAACGATGCGAGTTTTATGCTTTCAACTCGTTATGAAATGAGAACACATCAAAGATAAAACTGCTTTGGTTAATTTGCAAATCGTACTCTGGTGGATGAAGGTCGGAGCTTGAACATGCTCCGGCATCCCTTGGGAGCCAACAATAATCCAACAAAACCCTCCATCGAAGTACTTTATTTTTAAGGATCTATTTCTACATTTCTAGGTTACAACAAACAATGCAAGGTCTTTTAATTTAATTTTGAAAATTTAACTTCAATGGTCTGCCAAGTAAATTATCAACATCCTTTTCCACTGTTATACTATTTTTACTTCTTGTAACGATTTACTATTATCCTCCCTCTTTTTTTTTTGTTACGCCTTCAATCACAGTGGTAAATCAATTGTCGAAAATATTTTATTCTGCCATATTCTCAGTGTTTGGGGTGATACCTATCCCTTCATGCTTTTCAGTCCTCGTTTAAAAAGAAAAAACAAAAAGGGAAAGGGAAAAGTATTTTTGAGTAGAAGTTTCTCAACGCGGCCAGCATGTAATGGTGAAACAGAACGGGGTATGGCATTTCACAATATGTTGCAGGTGAAGATAACTCAACCAGCCAATCAGGACTCCAAGCAAATAGCACAAAGAATTAACACACCTTATTCCGAGAACGGTAGCCCCCAAAGAAGTCGGCGGTGCAAGCATAAGCCGTTCAACCTACCACCAAGTCTATCCCTCTATGTGCTTGCTGAACAGAAAGAATTCCTTTACTGAATCAATCATAGATATGAACTAGGATGCAACATCACGTTCCAATAAACAGCCCATAAACTTGCGTGGTTCCAGAAGAGGAAGAGACATAAAAAGCTATGGGCACTATCATTAAGCAAGAAAGGCACACACGGGTTCACCGCTTCAAATTTTTTTAAAAAAAAGGTCTCTGACTACGGTATATTTCAGCGAGAAATTACATCTGGGATACAAGCCCAACATTCGAAAGCAAACAAAACCCCGGGAAATACAGAAGCCTCCGGAACCTCGGCAAAAAGATCCCTTATTGTCTCAGAAACTCCTATACATACTATGTTGTGTGTGTGTGTAGATTACTCTCAACAACATCCAAAATTTCGAAGCCCCACCTGATGCTTCTTTGTCTAACCATTTCAGAATTCTATGAAAATCTGAATAAAATTGGAAATTCAGTTTAGGTCTGGCTAAGTCCTATAATTTTTAAGAAGCTTCTCAAAAGTTGAAAAAAGTCTCTTTTTAATCAGCCACCACAGGGGCGGCGCCGAACTTAAATTACTCAGTCCTAAGAGGTTAGAGCCCACAAAAACAAGTGGCTTGCTTAATCAGACTCCTTTCCTGAACCTGACGAAGCATCCCCATTTGAAGAATCCTCCCCACCTGCCAGATTTGATGGGCTTCCTTGCTGGTTCTCCTCATGGATGATGGTTTGGGGTTTCCCAGTTCTAGTTCTTACATTAACCCCCATTGGAAAGGGCACCTGCCAATAAAGACAGGGTCAGCATGAAATTACTTTCATTCTTTTCTCTACGACTCTACCATAGTACCATTAAATAAGGAGGATTTGGTTGCTCTACAAGACTGAGGCCCATTTTCTGGGCATCGCAATAAATGAAAATTTTTCAGAAGCACAAAATTCCAACCACATTTAGCAGGATTTCTACGTTCTGTTTTATGTTCGTGTCAACAATGAAACACAACTAAAATCCAAATTGCCACACTTGCTGTAATGTGCATACCTGGTCACCTGCATTGGGTCCGTCAGTATTGAAGAGAATGGGTCTGCATCGCTTATCCTCATTCATCAAGCTTGAATTCTGGAAATGTGCAATGAGAGCTGCTTTTCCTTGTATGCGGGCGTATGCAAGCGATGCTACTTTTTCACTATTGAATTTCTCCCATTTCTTTCCATTAAATGCCTGCCATAATTTTAGTTTCCTTTTAGCTTTAGTCTTTGCATGTAACCTTTAGGGATAAATTTGCCATTGGCCACCCTTATTTCTATAACTACACTACCCACCCCTACCTCATGATCTTGTTGCAAGATGACCACTCCACCGTAACATTTAGGGTAATTGGAGTGGTCAGAATAATAAGGGTGGTTAAATTAATTTATCCAATCTGTTACAACAGTACAGTTACACATCACAAACCTGATAGAATGGAATTATTTGTCTGGGATCAATCATGTTGATAAACGCATACCCAACATTGCATTTGTTCTGCAAGAGTTGTTAATGTCAGGCATTGCATATTGAATGAAAGTTTATTAGAATACTATGGTTTTCCCACAATTCATCTTTAACCTTGAAATTAAAGGGCAACCTCTCTAAGATAAAAATGCACTTGCCTTAAAATCAATTGGTAGGTAAACAAAATTGTAAGTTCCTTTATGGCGTTCATCGATTGCAGCCAGAAGCATTTTTGAAGTATACCTGCCACCAACACCACATTGTCAGTGTTAAAAAAATAACATAGGCAAAAAAGAATTATTGGCAACATTTTAATTGAAATGTAGTAATAGTGCAAGTCTTTCTTGTTTTTTGAAGTTTGTTCTAAGTAGAAATCATTGAGCATGCCTGGACTTCACACTTTCATGGAATACAAGTTACTGTTCCAAAAACAAAGTTCCAGCAATAAATAAATAGCAGCCAACAAGCAGAATATAATCACGGATTGAAGTTAGGTACCACATACTTGTTAGGAATATTCTTTATCATAAGTGTTGTTCGGGTGTCTTCCCCTTGCAATATGCGATCAATGTCAAGCTCGTATTGTTTCTTGTCTGCCTGACTAATGCTGCCTTCATTTCTACGGCTTCTAGCACGTTCACCAGGAGCATCAATTGTATTAATCATGGGAATCATTTGGCCTCTGCCAGGAAACACCATGGACCTCTGTTGTTGTGATTGGAACCCAACATTTTGAGGGGGCATTGGAAGTTCCAGGCAGTTTCCCCCAACATGAGGAAACATCTTAGGGGAGAGAAATTCCATGGAGTGCAACGAATTATTGGAAATCCTCATGCTCCCAAGAGAACAGGGATGGAAACTGGAAGCATCAGGAGATTCCCCTGCATATGCATGCTGTCTATCCCAGAGAGAAGGATTGACAGCTGGCACAGATCCCACATGTTGGTTATTGATGGGTAAAACAGGATTAAGCATAGAAGGTGGTACTCTAGGAGGTCCATGCAGCCGTGGTCCAGGATGAGCTACAGAAATTCCATTGACAAATGATGGGGAGTTTGGCCAAATCATGCCTGGGGGCTGGTGATGATAGGAGTTACCCCATGTATAGTGATTTCCAGGTCGAGAGCAGCTTCCATTTCGGGCAGATCCAAAAACTGATAAAAAGGAGCAAAGGCCAGACAAATGAATCTTTGTGAGAATTCAAAATAGCAACAAATAATCACCAGTATTCTTCTGGGCCAGAAACTCAATCGTTTAACATGTATATCTTTCTATCATCTCAATTTTAATTATCTGCATGTGAAACTAGCAAATAAGTGAATCACATGGACGCAACGAAACCTATAAACCTTGATCTAGAAATTCCTGGAGTTCAATGGATAAGATAGGGAAGTTTGAAATTTTGATTCAAACTAACTAATAACTTTCAGTATTGTTAGTAGCCCCACTGGGCTTTGCCAGCTATATGAGTCAGAAAACTGATAAAAACAAATGAAAAGACAACTTCAGCAAGGTATCCCTGGCAATTACCTCCTTCACTGAATTCAATTGGGTTTCCATTTGGGCTAATTCTGGCTAAATGCCGGGTATCAATTCTTTCAAGTGGCCTTGGATTGATGTTTGCAGCCATTGCTCCAGGAGAGTTGCAGTGAACACCACTATTTAGACCATCATACTCGGGAAGTGAATGAGGATGAAAATTTAAAGTGCTCTGGATATCAAATTTCAAATGACCTGGTGAGTGACTGAGCTCAGCAAAGCCAGTTTGATTGCCAGCTGATTCAACTCTTGAAACTGAGGACATGCTGTTAGGAACGCTAGAAGAGATTCCATGATGCAATGCAGATTCCAAAAACGGGGCATGTGTTGCAGAGGGTGCTCCCAAAATAGGCCCATTATCCATGGCAGTGGATATAATTGTTCCTGTTAACAATGCTTCTTGAGAGACATGAATATTTATTTAGTGAGTAGGATATCTCATTTCCAACAATCTTACCGGAGAATCCAGTAGTTGAGTTATTGGGAGGACTGCTCTGCTGCAAGAAAGGCCTAAATTCATCTTGTTCCAACTCGGGAGGAATCTGGTGCAATAAACTGCAGCCAAAAACCAAAATAAACCTAGACTTTAGCAACAGATCCTAAGAAAAGCCTAGGTCCATTCAGCAGAAATGATGAACCAGCTACTAGTTGAATATTGGCAACAAAAAGTAATAAACGGTAAGGATGGAGTGGGTCTTGCATTTCAATCTTGCCATGCAAGTATAGATATTGAAATGTAAATGCGAACTGGGATACCCATTGATTCTGTCTGCTTAAAACTAATGTTTTTGGCCTATTTTATCCCACCCAAACATGGAAAGAAAGGAAATATTTCTGCTACTCGCCCACTTGCATTGGATAGGTAATCAAAATAAACAAAAGCAAAAGTAGAAAGAAAGTATGTGGGGAAAAATAAATGGAGAGTTAGTATGGTTGGACAATACCCACCGTCTCAAACCCCCTGGACAGCTTGCTTCAAGCTTAATCCGCTTCCCAGCAATATCACTCTTGTTCAAAGCATGAAGAGCAGCCTCTGCAGCTCTCACATCATAAAATTCAACAAATTTGTCATGATTTCTGTGTGGGGTTCCATGAATCTGCAATGCAAGAGCAACGTGGGTTCATGCCTTGGTCGTAGAGTTTCTCAAGAACAATATATGAAAATCAGCAACCAAGCTCACCTCCTTGATCTCTCCATAGACACCAAATATCTGGTGAAGATCGTCGTTTGAAACAGAAGAATCGAGGTTGAACACAGCAAGAGTGCCCTGGTTAAAATCTTTCTCTGAAGGGTTGTCCTGACAAAAGTAATTAGAAAGGAAACAGGTCATGTAACAAGATTCATGCATGTAAATAAAAGTCAAAAGTATGCAAGAGAGTACAAATCCTAACAAAGGGACTGCCATTCTGATAAAGTAACGTGATTATGGACTATGAACAACCATACAACCAGGAAAGGCAGCAAAATCCACCTTTGGAATTGAGTAATGAATGTCAAGTTTCCTACGTCTCAAAGGCCTATTCTGTAGTGCTTTCATCGCATTTTTGGCTGCTCTAATATCGTAATAGGAAATCATAACAAAACCTCGATGCTTGCAAGCCGTATAAAGTGTACGAATATCACCATATTGCTGCTCATTCAATATAAAAAAAATCAGTGAAACATTCTTTGAAGACAAATAGCTCAAGTTAACAACATGGGTGGAAGACAAATTAAAACACCATGTCAAACACATACCTCAAATACAGCCCTTAACTCAGACTCTTCAACATTGCTATTTATATTTCTCACAAAGAGCGTTCTAGAAGGGTGTTCACCATAAGGTTGTTCTCCTGCCACTGAAAGATTGCATGCCCCCAGCTGACCATTAGAAGCTCCTCCATGAAATTCAGAGTCAATCTGGGCCACAGAACCATCATCCCCCAAATCCATCCCCCCAACACTGCTGAAAAAGTCCAAATCCTCCATATCATCTCCACCACTGGGATGGTTGATATTTTCTACTCTATCAGTCACCCCACTAAATAAGTCATCGTCATCGGGAAGAAGGTTTCCAATGGTTTGGGCCTCAATTTCTTCAAGAGACTGAAAAGGTTCCTCTTCCTCGAAGTGAGAGGCAATGGTATCAACAGAATGGCCATAAAGAGAATTGGTTGAAGATAATCTCACTGCATCAAGAGCATGAAACTGTAGATCAGCATGCAGTATCCCAAAAGGAAACTACATCCTAGAAACCAAATCTGGATATGGGAAAGGCTGGCATGTGGTGCACAGTTTAAATTTTTGTGGACAAGGTGTGCAAAAACAAGCCAACTGAGAAAAAAAACTTACACTTCCTACTAAATAATTCTGATAATGAGCTTGAGAAGAGACTATTCTCGTGCTGAGCTGCCATCGCATTCACTTTGCCAACTTCTGCAAAATAAGATGCTGGCTGTACATTCAAACTGGTCCCTGTACCATCATTGTCCACAGGTCTCAACAAAGTCAAGGACCGACTTAATGCTCTCTCTGCTCCCACTGCATGCTTATATAAGCTATGATTCATTTTCTGGTCATGTGTTAGGGAAGGCTGAGGATGCTCAAGCGATTTAACTGACTCCACAGCTACAAGTTTCTCACTGGGTGACAAGACATATGATTTCCCAACTGCTCTTCAACAAATAATATCAGTTTCTATTCCATAAGAAAACTCGTTTACCATAATAGAAGAGCTATACCACCTACCAATGACATAATTTCACAAACTGATCATGCACTAAAAAGACTAGTTTGGTACAGAATTTAGAGACAGCAATAATTAATTCCATGGTAGAGTACATTCTAAAATTCTGATTAAATTTCAATATGGAACCAGCCCCACCTATACCAATCAAAACTGACCATACAGACTACATTGTGCTTCTATTAAAAAACACTTTTGAGGACAGCAGAAAATCCAAGTGAAAGGAGCCGTATAAGTATACGATTTATGATTCCTTCTGGTTCCTTCTTTCTATAAGATTATTAGAGGCACATGATTGATTGACGGATCAAGATTAGATATTCATTAACTAATAGTATCTTTAACATGGTAGAAGCTATGGCAGGTCAATGAACCATATTCACAAAATTAAACCATTATATTCTCAATAACAACAGAATACATCATCCTATAGATGTCATCAATAGCAGTTTACGTCACCCTATACACGTCATCAATAGCAGCTTACATCATCCCATGGAGCTAATTCTTCATTTGCCAATTCAAGATACTTGATAAATTATTTAATGTACACGTGGCTTATTAGGGATCTGGGATACAGAATTGAAAGATATATCCAACCTTCTAAACCACACAACAAAATCATGAATCAACAAAAAGGTGAGAATCTAGAAACGATCAGATCCCAGTTTGGGAAGAAAGATAAAGAGTTATAAAGTGGCTGACTATAAGAAAACACTTGTGTTATGTCCTAGGAATTCACCAACATACTTAGCTGCCATACAAACAATTGCAAGTTCTCAATCAAAAAGATCTAAAGGTAACAGAAAAAAAAAGATTCATGTAATGGCAGTCCATCTGATGAATCAAAACCATAAAACCTACGAGTGTCTCGAATATACTGACCGCGTTGATCAGGCATTGTGTCTGATTTCCAAAACCCCACCTGCCTCTGCCACGCAGAGAAAACAAAATCAATCAATAACAATACAAGCAAAAACCACATAAAAAATCAATTAAGCACTACAGTCTACACCAATAAATAAACCCTTATAAACATACAATCTAACCATCAAACAAAATCAGAAATGATTAAACTAAGGATGAAACACAGAAAGGCACCACCAGTTGTACCTCACTGGGAAAGGAAGCATCTTCAGAGGAAAATGATGATGAAGACAAACCCTGTAAGTCCATTATTTCAGATGGCATTATGATTTGATGCCTAAAACAAGACTATATAAAACCCCCCCACCCAAAGAAAAAACTCGAACTCCGCGGTTGCATCAACAATTGTGTAAAAAATATCTCAGATGCTTCTACGGAAACTCTGCAAGGCAAAAATTTGGACAGTTATGGATAGCAAAGTAAGGCAAAACTAGGCAACTTGATAAAAGCACAGTATAAATGATAGGATTACAAATAATTAATTTCATTTATACCAAAATCTGCAAGTTGTTTCAGCTTAAGCTCTTAATTGGAAAGTAAGCAATTATAGCAAGTCAAAACAACAAAAACAAAATTAATTATTCCTTCATTTGATGATGATGATGATTCACACCAACCAAACATGGAAAAATAAATTCAATTAAGTTAAAACATTAATAAAAATTAAACACAGAATTGTTAATTCATTGCAAATTTTGCAGGTGCAATTTTCAAAAAGATCCAAAACAGCTTAAATTTAACAAAATCGAGTTACCTAAAACATTTTTGGACTCCAAAAAAATAACCGATCAGATAATCAAAATTACAAAAGCACACCTTGGAGCGAAACAAATGTAACCAGCAAACGGACCTCAATTATTAAATAACAGAAACAGACTCCAATTCACGGAGAGAGAGGGGGGGATACATAGCGGAGAAATGAAGAAAAGAGAAGAATTTAAACAGAGAGAACTCAAACGAGAGAGATCGAATAAATTACGGCTAAAGGAAAGGGAAATTGAAGGAAGAAGGTATCAACTTATTAGTAGCATAGCATCTTTGCCGTGTAAGATCCTCCCACCAAACACTGCCTTCCTTCCTTGATTCTCTTTTAATTTCCCAGCATTGCACGTTAACCTCCCCTATATTTTATTTCTTCAATTTTTTTAAATACAAAGTTCCTCTCTCTTCAGCTAAGAATCAGATTCTCCGGCGGTGAGAAACAGAATTTCCGGCGAGATTGAGACCTCTCGCCAGAAAGAGAGAGAATGGGTGTGGTTGTTTTTTCCCTTAACGGAGAAAAAAATGAGATAAAAATGAAAAAAAAAAAAAAAAAGGACGGTGGTTGCAAAAACTAGACCACTTTCCTACAAACACGAGACCATGAGAGAGAGATGAGGCTGGGAGACCGTTAAGACTTGATTCTAACGCCGTTAAGCATGAAAGTCCAATTATCCGTTGTTAGTAAAAGAAAGAGAGAGGTCTTTTTTCTGTCTTTGCCGTGCATAGAATTAGATTAAATAGATTATTACTAAATAGACTTGAAATGCCACGCTGGCATTTTCTCTAAAGCCGGTTAATTTTAAATTTGAATTATGAAATGACGACAATGGACATGGTCTGCTGCAATTCAGCCTTCGAAACGTTTATCACTTTAAATTGCGTTTCGTTAGTTTTTGGACAGCACATACGAGTATATAAATATATATGTGTGTGTGTGTAATTAGTCAAAGAAAATGTGACAAGATTAATTTTATATTATAAAAATTTAAGAATAATTTTCTGTATTTTTAAAATAAAAATTATAAAAATATATATATATTTTTGCTAGTTTTATTTTTTCCATAACATAAACAAAATAAATTTATGATTAGTGATTTGTAATTTTTTTAAACGTGTGATGGTGATTTTTTTATATATTTTTTATTTGAAAATATATTAAAATATTTTTTATTTTAAAAAAATATTTTTAATATTAGTATATTAAAAAAATTAAAAAATAAATTTTATTAAAATTCTATTATAAACATAGCATTAATCAGAATTTAAAAAAGTTTCAGATAGTTTTGGCAACAAGGGTAAGAGCATATACTGATAATATCAGTATATTTAGAACTCAAACAAAAAAATTAACTCTTTTATCTATAATTCGTTTGAAGATAGATAACAAGGACAAATATTGCGGTAAAAAAACTTTACCAGGGTAGGGGTAAAATATTGGTGGTGGTGTGATGGTTGAGGTCACAGGATTGGTGCAGTTTTGGAAACTCCTCCTTAATTTAGTGGGCCTTGAGATTCGTGAGGTGTTTAAATTCTTCGATAAATGGAGAATACTTAAATGTTTTTATTATTGAGAAATTATCCTGTGAAGCAGTGATGATTGGCGTGGGAAATTTGTGGCGGAGAAAGAAGAGTTTCAGGATTTTATTTGCCACGCGTAGAGTGGGGAGTGGATGGGAGTGTGATGGTACAGTAAGAGTCGGGGAACTTTACTTCCCCTGAATTTTTTGAATAATCATGGTTGATGTAACGTGGCTGGATAAACGGAGAGAGTGTCCTTAAGAAATGATCGTGAGTGATTTTTCTTGCCGTAGAAGTACTTTTTAAAATGATTTTTATTTAAAAAATATTAAATTAATATTTATTATTTTAATATAATTTCAAATTAAAAAAATCTGTATTATAGTACAGAACATTCGCAAAGTTAAATGTAAAAAAAAAAAAAGATTTGTGAAAATTAGTTCGCACGTGTGCAAAATCAATTTATTTTTTTAGAATATCTTTTCTCTTTTTGGGTAACGAATATTAGACAAAATCGATTGGCTGGCCTGAGTTTGGATCGTCGAATACTGGGTGGGTGCTGAAACTTTGTCCTGCCTTTTTTCTTCTTTATTTTGACAAAGACACCAATTCCAGTTTTCCCTGCTTTTTTTTTTCTTAATTATTTTTATTACAATAGTTGAATTTTATTACGGATCAATATATTTATATCTGTGGTCGTGAAACTTAAAGACCAACCGAACCTTTTGAGTTTAGCTGGATTTTTACTCAATAATACTTGTTTTAGCTTAATTATTAATTAATTAATTAGCGGAGCAAACTAAATTTGATCGAGTCCTTAAGATTCAATGGCTTTAAGATAGAATCTAGACCAGTTTAACAATCGATTTAAAGTTCAAACAATCAACGAAACAAACTAATATGGTCGTGTCCTCGAGATTCAATGGCTTCAAGATAGAATTTAGAACAATTTAATACTCGATTTAAAGCATTGGTAAGCGCTGGGTGTATCTTTTCCTGATTATTTTTAATAAATGACAAATATGCCATTTATTTCTTCATGTATAATAATTGCAAACATGCGTGCACGGATAAAGTTCAGGAAACCCAATGGGACAACAAAAAAAAATTGACTTCGAGCATACGTATGTATCAAGGTAAATTATAAAATATTCAAAATGCAAGCATTTATCAAATCTCTTGAGTCTTTGAACTAGTTCTAAACTTCTATACCCGTGGACAAATTTATCACAACATCAAACTAAACCCAGCTTAGTCACGTCCTTAATTTGTCTTCAGTGGCGAAGGAGATTGCCACCCTTGGGTCCAAAGATTTTGTCAAGCCTTGCATGCATGTTATACCAAGTAGTTTTTCCTTGTACGATGTAATCCAACCTATTATTTATTTTTGTACGATAAATCTCTTGGGAAATATAAGAAAATGGTATGCTACCATTTTAATTTTTGTTTTCGTGGGTTTTCCTTATTTATTTTATTTCTATAGCCATCGCACCTATTGTTTCACATTTATTATTTTTATAGTGCAATGCATCGTTGTAGTACACTGATTATTATTTTTAACTCGAAGTTCTTAACTCTCTTAGTTGATTTTAGTTTTAAGTTTCTTTTTAAAAAATATATTTTTTACTAATTCATGTTATATACTATTTTTCTACGTGGTTTGACATTCAGATCCATTAGAAAAACTGTATAAGCATTTGTAGACATGATTATGCATGAATTAAAAAAAATTACAATTTACTATGAAAGAAAAAACTGAAATAATTTTTTATGAATACTTTAATGTGTTTCAACATGTATTTTTAACATCTATCAATAATTTCCCTATGAAAGAAAAAACAAATTCTGAACATCTAATTTTGATGGCCATTAATCTATATTTTGGTTTTTAAAAGGGTTTATTGATAATAAAATACAAAGAAAAATAAATTTAGGGTTCACAAGCAATGCTTGTCTATATCTATATGTATATGTATATGAAAACACAAGACTTGAGGAGAATTCGATCACCTGTAAATAAGTGAAATAGCCTGTAGCTTGTCATGTGGCTTTCAATATACACGTATAATTATATATTTTTCTTTTTTTAAACCCTGTAAAATACAACTGTAATTATATTAAAAACAGTGAAAAGGATTCATATATAATAAGATATGATTGTTTAAGAGAGATCATAAAAAATTAAAAATGCATGATTGATAAATATTTAATTTAAAATTTGTGATTAGAGACACGATTATCTTTAATACATGTTCAATGAAAAATCATAATAGTAACTATTAATAGGGTAGAATTATAATGTTTGACAACATTTGCAATCCTTTGATTTTTTTTAACTTCAACGAGAAAAATACATCGTCTTGGCACAATTGCTAATAAGCTAACACGAAAACACAAAGAACATTATTTATATATCCCATAGTATAATAACAAAAAATTATTCATGAAAAAAAAATGAAAATATATGATTTGCAAACACTCTTACTAGAGGATACGGTTACAAAATTCTTAGTAAGTGTCAAATAAAAAGTTATAGTTGTAAAAATTGAAGAAGCAGAGTCGAAATGTTTAGCAACATGTGCAATATTTAAAGAGGTGTGATTTTATATCTTAATATAATACATGATTGTTGGTAAATAAAATAAAAATGTATTATATCTATATAAACACTATTAATTTACATGGTTTATAAACACAATTAATTCAAAAAATGTAAATATTCATTATAGACATGTATGCATAGATTTTATTTATTTTTCATTACATCCACAATCATATATAATAAATGATTAAATATTCTTGTTTGCTAGGATTTAAATTTAAGAGTACATTAAAAATAATAATAACATGCACACAAAGTGCTTATACCCCACTAGCCCGTGTAATATATTAATTGAAAAAACATGGAAAGCTTAAGAATAGTTACAGGCATAAGTCCTTTTTTTTATGATTTAAAAATAAAATTATAATGAAATTGAAAAAAAGACTTATTATACAATAAAATTCACTGTACTTGGGTGTTGCCGTATCCGTCATGACAAGATTAGTACCGGTTATGGAGCCAGGTGCGCTCCTATGGTTTTGTGATGCAGTATAGATGCACGAACAAGCAGTCGACGGTCATTCGCACCTGACCATGCATCTTGGATCACCATCTGGCGCACAAGCAGCCAATGATGTGTCACGCCTGAAGCGCCGTTCGAGACTTGCACAGCAGCTTCGTCTAGTTGTTTATTTAATGTATTTTTATCTGAAATTAAAATATTAAAATGATTTAAAAATATAAAAAAATAATCTGCAATAAATAAGAAAATTAATTTTTCCAAAATATTTAAAAAATATATAAAAAATAACCCTACTCTTCATATAGGTAGGCTGGCCATTGCATAAAATGACAGCCTAACTACATGCAAGCACATATAGTTTTTTCATGAAAGGGGAAGGCGTGTTTTGATTTTGAAACTGACACAGTTACTGATACTTGGACTCATTCGCCTCCTCCTTTCTTTTCCACGTGGAAAAAGTTCCTTGTCCGGCATATTTTCTTTGTCCTTTTAAGATCTTCTCCGTGGAACACAATATCCCTAGCCGCACTTAAAGCCCCTCAAATCAAAAGTTCGCACGCATTCGTAGCCCTGAGTTTCCGTGACGACTTCACTACTGAATTTTCAACAGATTTACGGCTTGAAAATTGCACAGCAATTAATTTATTATTGATGATAGAATTAAATAAATTATCGTGAGTATCATGAGAAATATTCTCTTTCAAGGAAAGATATGAAATTAGTCGATCACTATAGTCTATACATGCGTCCAGTGCAAGATGAAAGATAGAGGACGGGTCTTGAATTTATTATTATCCACTGTTTCGGATGTATCATGTTAGTACAAGAGATGCCGGACGAGAGAACAAATATACTTCCTTTTTCAAGTAAAAAAAGAAGAAATAATTATTTCGAAGGTACAAGTAGAAAGCGTGCATATACATTAATTAATTACTATGAGATAATTACGTTATTAGTATACTAATTTCATGCTAAGAGGGAGGCCCAATGGATGTTAGATACAAAGTACCGAGACTTTTCCTCAATAGAATGCATGAATTTTTAATTTTTCTTATCTGAGTTCATCAATGTTCTTAAAAATTACAATCAATTACTTATTTTAATGTTTCACTTACATGTTCTTTGACCTTTACTAAGGAATAATTGCAGTGTTAATGCACCAACTTTCAGATTTTCTATTGTTTTATTTTTTACTGTAGCACACCAGCGTCCCAGTCAAATACTTTTTATACAGATTTATTATTTTTTCTATTTATTTTCAAATGCTTGATTTTCTTTATTAGAATTATAAATATTCAAATTCCTATAAAAAATTTATTTATCATTAAATATATAGTTTTTAATCTCGAAGTAGAACTTATATAGCTCATCAACAATTACAAGGCCTTTCTTCTTGAAAGAACTTTTTAATTTAAAATACTTTTGTGTATCAAACATAACATCGATTTGGAGGGTATTTTCTTATTAGAAAAACACATAATTGGCACAATAAAAAATTGGTAACAAAATTAAAAAAAAAGAGAGAGATTAAAGTGAGTACTCTATTAAGATTAGGTGAAAGTCCATGCAGCAACAAAGGATATTATCGTACAGTGGAGTCGTTGATAGAAGGTAGACAGAAGTAATTAATCGAAAAATCTCAAAAAAATCAATGCTCAGACGACAATAGTGTACTGCTACTGTAATTATCTTATTCTAGCAATAGGTAGTCAATACCACGCATGTAATACAACCCCGATGCAGCACCGCAAGACTCCTCCCGAGTAATTCCAGTGACTCTGTACTTTCTTTCTTTCTTGTGATATCTTGATGGCAATAAATATTCTTATTAATGAAAATACAAATTAATAAAAAAACACGATCGTATACACTTTATCATCTTCCGAATTAATAACAATTTCATCTATATAACGAGTGTTCGTAATACACACACCAATGGTTACCTCCTCTGTTTTGGTTCATGGTAGGTAATAATATCGTAAGAAAACTTTTGATTTAGAATTTCACTGTTTACTTGACATTTGTGCTCAGAGCGTATTGCAGGAAAATCTATTTATTTCAGGAGATCAAACTTGCAGTGACAGGGGTGGTTGAGATTATGGTGTAAATTATTTTTAAAAAATATTTTTTATTTGAAAGTATATTATAGTTATTTTTTCATATTTTTTAAAATTAAAATATTTTTTAAAAAATAAAAGTTGTAATAAATACGCTTTAATACTGAAAAAATAAAGTGGGTGATGATTTGACGTGGTAGAAACTTTGAAATTGATGAGCTGATCGACGACTTGGACAATATTTAATTATCTGATGCAGTTTAGTCACATGACGAGATGTCAACTTTCATTGCTTCACAACCTTTTCCCAAATGGAAGTCATCTCCTTCCTCATCTAAAATACCTGTACATGACTCCTGCACAGACAGCCTGGTCTCTGTGAAAAAACAAAAGAAATTGACAAGGATGGCCAGCTTTGTGAATTTACGAACCAGGTGGTAATGCCAGGACAACAAACAGCATTGTCTGAGGTACAAGGAACATTACTGTCTGCCAGAATAAAGGGCTTAAAGAATCGAGCTTGATGAATTAGAATAGAGAGAATGATTAGAGAGGGAAGCATGTGAGTGTAATGATAGATTGCTCAGGGTTCGTTGCTGTCTCTATTAGATTAGCCATGGCCACCCTATGAGATTCTCTCCTATATTTACTTTCACGTGTGTTTTTATATATCTAATCCCTGCAAACTCCTATCCCAATACATTTTAATATTTTCCTAAATAAAAAAATCCAGGGAAATTATTGTATTATTGGTTCTTTCAATTATTTTTTAGGGACCATTAGCCGTTGATTCTCGGGACTTCCCTGCTTTTGATTGGTTTCTCCTTTGAATTAAGCAGCTTTTTTTAAGGTTTTTGATAGCCATGGATGCTTTGCCTTTATTAATTATTACTATATCTGTATGCTTAGCTGTATGATATATTGACTGAATGGAAGTGTTGATATGGACAAGGTGTATAATTACACTTCTCTTTTCCTTTTAATTTGAGCACCAGATGGCCTTGTGTTTTCCCCCTCCTTTTCCAGCGCTGAATCGAACACCTTGAATACAAATACTCTTCCCTTTGAAAATTATATGAATCACCTTTTTAATTATGAGAAAAACGAAATAACCTGTTTTTATTTTTGTTTCCAACTGTTGGATGGACAGGGCTTAAGAAGCTCTTTAACCCAAGGCCAGCGATGATGAACAATGGCCAAGTGCCTAGAGAGAGAATTCAGCAGAGCATATAAACACGATCTGAGCTCACCTACACACCAAAAATCCTTCGCGAGGACTCCTGGAAAACCTCGGAGGCTCTAAGATATATATATTCTTCCCGGGTCAAGTCAGGTCCGGCACTAGCCAGTCCACCAGCACAACGGTTGGCTTCCGCATGGGTGAATGACGAGTTAAGATAGCAACTGTGTAATTATGGACGAATCAATATTCCTGTACTCATCCGGTTAGATCCATTACATAGCCAAATAACTTAAAAACTTGCTTAATTACAAGTTCCACGCACCTTCGCAGGTTAATCTCTCTCTGGGATTTACTCTCTCTCTCTCTGTTTTTTTTTTTTTTTGGTTGAAAAAAGTTATGTTCAGTATTAGAGAAGAGTAAAACATTTAAAAAAAATGTCAGGTGGAAAGGATATGGTAGAATAATTTACAAGTAATAATAAACTAATGGAGGAGAGAATCATTTACTCTTTCTAGTCAAAAAGTATTTTTTTATTAAAATTATATTTTTAATTTTATTTTTTAATAATAAATTTATTAAAGCTTAAAATTTATAATTTATTTTATTTTATGTTTTTATAAAACTGTATTATGGCCTAAGATGGAAGTTTTTATGAACTAACCTAATTGATTTGATGTTTGTTTTTGGGTTTTTTTGTAATTAATTTTTTGTCTCAATTTCATATATTTAATATTAAGTTGGTTGAAAATTAAGTTTTATAGTTTATTTCAATTTATTTTCTATAATATTATTGTAATTTCATGATCCGAGTCACAGGTTTTATCAGTCAGTTCTTGTTAACATGAGTTTTTTTTTTATATATTTTTTTTAATTTTATCGTCCAATATTTTATTGATCAAGAATTGAATTTTATAATTTATTTTTTTTAAATTATATCAATTTTATAATTTAGATTTGATTGACCAACTCGAGTCAATTAGGGTTACTTTTTTTTTCTAATTGATTTTTTTAATTCAATCATTAAATATTGGATTGATTGAGAATTTTAATTTTAATTTATTTTTTTAATAAAATTATTATAATTTTATAATTTAGATTATAAATTCTATATATTAACTTGAATTTACTGCATGAATTGAATATATTGATATTAATATTTTAAAAATAAGATGTTATTTTTAATATATATATTTTAAATTAATCAAGCCGCAAAGGTGGTGCTGATAAATGATGTAGTAATAACTATTATCCTCTTTTTAATTAGCACTAAACTCGGATTTCATTCCATAATGTTGATGATTTTCTAAAGGAAATAAATAAATAAATAGCGCAGAACATTCATAGAAAACCTCGATCCAGTTTATCTTGCTCCTCGGGTGGATTTATTACTGGGCAAGCATATCTACCGGTGGCATGAATTTATCTTGACTGGCCCAAGCTATCAAGTGGGCTTCAATGGGAATCAGCTCTATGCTGCAAGCATGCCACCAATCTGAAAAATGTAACTTACCTTCTCACAATGAAATCTGAAGAAAAAGGATTTTTAAGTTGAATCAACAAAAATAAATAAATAAATCAAATCTTCACGATAAAATTTAAGTTTGATTGCAAGAAATGAAATTAATAAAAAATATTATTTCACAATAATTTCACACAAACAAAAGAAATTAAATTATATCAAATTTTCATAGATACGAGAATTATTTTATTTTTACGAGATCAATCATTTATTACGCTTTACTCATGGTGAGTTGATCAAGGGTGGACTCCATACATTTGTCTGGGAGTGGGGAAGTTAAGACAGTGTAGGAGTTTAAAGAGAAAAAAACAAAAATGTTTATAAATAATTTTCTGAGTATTTTAAGAAAACATAAATTAGCACCACTGGTCGGGTAACAAATCTTTTTGATTTAAAAAACTTTTCTTTTTAATTTTTGTAGTTAATTTCAGGTTCAATTCCTGACCTTAAAATTAATAAACTAACATCTAGATGAACCCAGCTAAAATCCCAACACCGTTTTTTTTTTAAAAAACAGTTTATTAGTATAATTTTTGGCATTGTGTTCCAGGATTTTAATAAAATTGATTTTTTTATTTTTATTTTTAAAATTAAAAATAAATTTTATAAAATAAAAAATATTATTTTAATATATTTTTCAAATTAAATTTTTTTTTAAAAAAAAACAACCAAAACAAACACTCGTCACTCCCCATCTAGCAGCTAGGAGTGGAGTGGACAGCGCTAGTCTTTTCTTCTTGGCTAGAATTCCCGCCGGGTGTTTTTGTCTTGAATGATCCTCGAATCCAAATTCCGTTGGTTTATAAAAACCCTACGTTACGCCAGTCTCGAGGTTTTCTGCTTTCGGACTCTCTCTCACATTCCCCGTCCCTCTCTCCAGTGTTCTCTCTGGAATTGCTCCTGCTGGTACGTTCCTCTTGACTTGAAATTCGATTTACATAGCAAATTTTTTTTTTATTATTATTATAAATAAAGTTCCAGACTTTCGACGACCAACTCAATTTTATACTTGCATTGAGCCGTTTCTTTACTCTTTTTTTTTGAATCTCGGCAAATCATGGATACAGAATTTTTTTTCTTTCGATTTTGGCATTTTGCTTGTTAATGTACTGCACTGAGTACGACGAATTTTCTTTAGGAAATTAATGGCACCACCACTTCTTTAATGCAATGTAGGATATTTGAGGACTTGGGTTTTTCTTTTATGCAGTCTCCCTGTCTTTTTTCTTTTGGGTTCTTGAAAGTACTATATATTTTTTTTTTCTGAAGCCATTATTTTTTTTTTTTAATTTTGTCTCTATAAGAAGAGATTAAATGCGTAGAGTTTCGAAATACCGAATATGTGAATTAGAAGGTAGAGCTAGTAGGGTTGCCAGTTCCTGATTCCTGCTTTGGAAAACATGCTGATTGTTTTTCTAAATGTAGAATTCGGATATTGGGATTAAGTGATGAAGAGTCCTTGCAAAGAAAGCAAAATTCCCAGTTATAAATGTATTAAGCAAGAACCTTCAAGTGAAGCAATTGACGTTTCTGTGACAAAGAACATTGCACAACGAGTTCAAAAAGTTGAGTCCAAGGGGTATCTAGAGAGAAGATGCAGCCCTAGGCTTAAAAATAAGCCTCAAGAGAAAAGGCCGTGCTATGATGAAGGTCAGAGCATGAAGTTAGATGCTCCTGAACTCGACATCTGCAAGAAAGAAGTTGAAGGAGAGTCAACAGGGCCTGGAGTGAGAAGATGGTGTCCAAGACTTGAAAGTATACCTGATAAGAGTAGGCCATTATATGATGGAGATCAGAGGAGGGAGTTAGATGCTCCTAAACATGATGTGTGCAAGAAAGAAACTGGAGATTATAACCGGAAGAGACATTTAGAATCCCCTGTAGATAATGCTGGCAAGAGAAGAAGCTACATTAATCATCCAATGCAAGAATGGCAACCTGATATCGATAGAAAAGGCGGAGAAGATGGGCTCAAAAGAAGTGGTCCGGCCCTTGGTTCCTTGCCTTTTAAATTTGATGACACAGAAATTGAGTTAGAAAACAATGCTAATCTGAAATGGACGGACTATCAAAGTTTTGTAGCTGATAGTATCAAACAGAAGGCATGTACAGCAGTGAAAGAGACAGCAAGGACGTTTAATAATCATCACCTTAGCTGTGTTCAGGTGATTTCATTTATAAGGATCTTTTATGGAACTAATAAGTGGGTGCTTATGTATTTGTTTCAGTAATCCTAAAAATTACGTAAAATATTCCTTTGTTCTTTCCTCCTCTTGGCTAAATAGTGGTAAGGCACTATTTTGTCGTGGCAGTGCAACTTTAAATGCAATGACTTGACGTGGCAGTGCAACTTTAAATGCAATGACTTGAATGTTTATGGAATGAATATAAAAGAATGAAACAGCTACTGTAGTTTAACTGGACTGAAAAAAAATAGCTGGTCTGTGTTTTAGCTGCGATTTAAACTACAAAGTGGAATGCTGTGAATAGGAAGTGATGTTGCAACAATAACTGTTGTACATTGATTTAATGATGCTCTCAAAACTTTTACTGAGGAAAAGTTCAAACAAATCGCTGAAATAGTAGCTTTTGCATTTACAGAATAATCGATCAGTGTGTTTCATTTCATTAACTTAATTAGGAAATTTACTTCTCAGCCTTTTAGCTTGATGTGTTAATGGCCTAAGGCGGAGTGGCATCCAGAGTTTCATTCAGCATTGATAAATTTCTGAATATACTGTACTTTGGAATACGTGATCCCAATACTAATGCTAAATTTGTCTTGTAACATTGCTTGTGTGATAAATTGTAACGATGCATCTTTTTTTTTTCCAGCTAGTTTTACAAAAAAAATAAATAAATTATTTGTTTCTCAATAGCTAATTAATTTTTGATAAATAGTCATAACCTTATTTGGAAATATAATTTTTTCAAGAAAACCCGTGGTTCACTATTCTGGGGAATTGATAGCTTCCATTTCTTGATTTCTCTTTGTAAGTAATTTAATCTGGGATCATGCTAAGCAGCTACTTGGTGCTAACACAGGAAGAAGAGAAGAAATATGAAAAGCTAGAGGCCAGAGATCCTCAGGTTGCTGATTATACTGATAATGTGAGCATGCGAGCCTTCTCATTTTCATTCCCTCCCTCTGTTTTCTCTCTGGTGGGCTTTGATCTTTTCCTTTAAAACTATATTCAAATCTTGAACTTGGGACGCTAGTCAATATTCTCAAAAAGTTATGGTAACATGCATTTCCCTTTTTGTTGTTTTTAATTAATGTTTTGGACTAATGCAAATAGGTGTTAAGATTCTTGTTCCTTGGTTCCACTTAACATTTTCTCCATTAAAAGATGACGGGTGAACATGGAATGGAAGCACATTGCAGTTCATTTGTGCTCTTGTGCTTAAGCCTTTAAGTATACTTCTTCTACCATATGCTTTTTGTTTGCCATTTGTATGACTAAAGATGTACAGTATTTGCTATAATTTGAGGTAAAAATTACTAATAACTTCCATTTTTTTTCCTCTTGTAATTTATCATATCTCATATTTTTAAAAACATTTATGCCTTTTCTTTTGGAAAAATTATTTGGTGAATAGAACCATTTATGCAGAACAAATTGACCATCATGTGCCCGCTTCTCTAGAGACCGCTTTCTCCATTTCATCTCCCCACACGCTCTCTCTCTGGAGGAAGATCTTGGTCTTTGTGATTGTTATGCTAATGCTATGGAAACTTTGCAGAAGGGAAATTCATCCACTGCTAAGTGTACTTCAAAGCAACCAATTCCGAAGGAAATTTCCGAGGCAAGTTTATAGCAATCCTATTTCCTTCTAGTTAATAGCTGTGGATTAGCCAACAAAAATAAAATGCTTTGCAAGATTTTTTTTGCTTTATTTTGATGTAAAGGTGGTGAATACGCATAACCAGCAGACGTGCAAGTATTTAATCATAATGAACGATTAGTCTTTTATCATGCACATATGCTATGTTGTGTTGCTAATGCTAGTTCCCAGCTGCATGAGCTGACCATTTGTCAAAATCATTTTGAAAATCTGTTTTGTCTATTTCTCTCGTATAATGTTGGAGTTTTGAATCATTCTCTTTTGTTATTATGTATGGAACAATGATGATTTCTTTCTTTTTTGGTCATTCATGGTAGGCGTCAAAGAAGAATGAACAATCATACACTGAAAAACAAGTTGCTTATCTACCTGGTGGGTAAATCATAGTTGCATTATGCTTTTTTTTTTTTTTTTTTTTGCATTGATTTGCCTTGATATGCATGAATATATCTTAGCTATGAGCATCTTGCAGGTATTGCTGTTGGGCATAAATTCTTCTCTCGAGATGATATGGTGGCTACAGGTTTCTGTGGACATTGGTTGAATGGAATTGATTACATATGCAAGCTTTGTGGCAAATTGGTTTGCATCTACATTTCTTTTTATCTGGATTGCAAGAAATACATTTTCCTGTTTCCTTTATGATACTCATTTAATTTTCATAGCTCTGGTCTGCTGGATTCATTTTTCCTGTGCTAGGAAGTCATACATAGTGAAACGTGGTATTTTGGCTGTTTTCATTTTAATACGTGATATGAAACCTCCACCCTTATTTCTTGGAACCTCATCCCCTAATAATCAATTGTTTTCCTTATAAGATTATAGGGTTTTAATGGCATTTTCTGCCATTTTTGTTCAAGTTGTGGTGCTTTAATAACTGACTTGTCAAATTAGTTTTATCATCTCTTACATGTTTTGAAGAAAATTTTGAAAGTTATATTTATATCTATCATTAGAACATCCCTTTACATGAATTTTCCTAGACACTTAAAGAGTTGAGACTTGAGAGGTGTCCATGCATCAATGAAGAGCAGTGGGTCCAGGAAAAAAATTAATCTACAATTGCTTCATAAATTCATGTCATATAGTTGAATTGCTCTGTGAAGTAACTTAAAACATTTCAAAACATGCATGACTGTGTGAAAAATGTGAAAAGAAATTGGTTATGCTTTAATTTCTGCTTACTTGAGGGATGATGCTTGTGTTTGTCGAAGGTGTTTATCTGTTAGAAATTCTTTATGATTCTATTTGTGTTCCCTCTGCTTATTCATCTTCCAGGAAGATTAGTTTATGAAACAAAGTGAAGAATTAAAGTGATAAGCAATCTTGCCCAGGAAATGCAGTCCTGGTTGGGATTGCTCATGTAATTGTGACCCTGTTTGCAGTAGAGTAAACATAAGCTGAACTAAAGGTGATAAAAGCACTCCAAGGAATAGGAAATAGCACCCAATAGTTAACGAAATGAAAATTGCAACAGCTGAAACATTTTGTCAAATGAATTGAGCATCATCATCAATGAAGTAGTAAGGTTTTCTTGCAACTGGCTGAAAAAATATGTTTAAGCTTACTTTTAGTGTAACCAATAAACAAATATGGGCTTCTTTTGCCTCTAAACCCAAATTTCTGCACAAAATCTCAGTCAAATCCAAGTACAAGTGAATTACTAGCATATTTGGAAAACAAGCATCATTAAACCATTAAAGCAGAAAAAAGAAAGGGAAACTTCTACCAGCTATTTAAATCTTTGTTCAAACTGCTCCTTCCTTTTTCTGGTTTAATGCTTTGCTGCTTTCCAGATGTTTTAACTTCATTAAAGCAGAAAAAAGAAAGGGACACTTCTACTTGCTATTTAAATCCTTGTTCAAACTGCTCCCTTTTTACTGGTTTAATGCTTGCTGCTTTCCAGATGTTTTAACTTCATTACTATACTCAATGCATACTTTTGCACCTCTTTAATGTTCAACTATCTCTTGTAATATGTGCAGGGTAAGCACAATGAGTATAGCAGCCTGGTAGCAGTAGCAATCGTTTTGTCTGGACAACAACAAGATGGTGTTGATTGTTTAAATGAAGTAGTGTATACAGGCCAAGGCAGAAACAACATGAATGTTAGTAAGAGTCAAACTAAAGATCAAGTTATGCATTGTAGTAATTTGGCTCTTGAGGTATTATAAGCGTTTATGGTAGTTAAATGATATTGATCTATATTCTTGTTATATTACATTATTAGTTTATGTTTTTTAATGAGCGCACAGTAAAACTTTAAGGCTCTTCATATGAAGAGAGAGACAGGGCAGTTAGGGTATTGACTGTGGTCCCATCCCCTTCCTAGTGACCATTCATCTCCGTACATGTCCATCATGGTGGAGAGTTTGGGAACTATATTAATGGTGTAATTATGTTCGTACTTGTAAAGTGACTGAGCTGAAGCTACAGAAATTTCTCTCTTTCTTTCTTTCTGAATTCTTCTTTCTATTGGTGAAATGATACTTCCTACTTGGTTCTATGAAATATGTTTTATTATTTTTGTACTAATCACCGATCAGTGTTCAGTTTTGTTCATTTATTTCAAAAAACACGCAAACCATGGGGATCCCTTTGTGTGCTTTCCCCACTCTAAACAGATGCTTTTTGTTCATATTGATATAACCACTTGTATGAGCTGCTTTCTTGAACTTTGTTCATGTAGCTTATTTATTCTCATAACTGATTAAATCTTCTACTGGTAGTAAACAACGTTCTAAGTTATGATTTGATTGTTATAATAGCAATAGACATGTTAATGTCAATATTTCATGACTGGGAATCCATCACAATCTAGCTTCATGTATTATCAACTGTCCTCACTGGTACTTGGTACAGATATGTTGTCAACTTTCAAATCCTTTTTGTGTGTTTTATGGAATCTATTACTCAATTTTCATTTTGATCTTCTTGCAGAATAATATGGAGCAATCTGTACCTGTCAGGGTCATCTGTGAGCATAAACGTGGTGATAATCAAAGTGGCAAAGTTTACACATATTGTGGTTTGTACAAGGTTGGCATTATCAAAATTTACTTGCTTTAAAGAGTTTTATTTGGTTAGCATGTAAAATTGCATTTGCATTGTATCTGTTGAAGGTCTACTTGTGCCTACATCCTAATCACATATTCTGGGCTTTCTAAAAGACTTTAATTTTATAAATGTCTGAATTTCTAACTTGCTATTGCCAAAGGTTTTACCAAATATTAATTCTGTTGCCCTTCCTAAGCTAATATTTCTCATCATGTGCATGTCGTTTCCCTGTGCCTCCCTTCTCATAATTGGCTTCCAGTTTGGAAAAGCCTTTGTTTTTATTGCTTTGTATACATGGCAGACTCATTAAAAATCTCGTTTTCTTCCCCCTTAAAACTGTCAATTTTGATGCATCTGTGTTTTTTGCATCACTTTACAGATTTGATGCTGGCATGTTCCAGAAAAAATTCAGTGCAATTTATTTTTAATTGTTTTTCCTCATAGCTCTGATTTCTTAGAAAATAATTTTTGATTGCATCCTGGTGACCTGTTTCTTGAGCTGTGTGCTTTTTGTTTTTGTGTGTGTATGTTAAAAGAGGTCTTTGAACCATCATTTTTCTGAATATTAGCATTTGATGAGTCATAGGGAGATGAAAGATTTGAAAAATATTTGGAATTGTTTAACTGCTGAGGAAATTTTAAGGAAAGAAAGTAATGTTTCACTACCTAATGGCGTAATTGAATAATAAAGGAAAAACAAAGAGTGCAGTGCAATGCATTCTTTTTAAGTGGATTGAATATTGAGTATTGGATAAGCATAGAGGGAAATCATTTACATTTTTCATGATTTAAGTGTTGTGTTCATTATTATTTTTACCAATCCTGCATGGCTGAGTTAATAATGTTGGACGAATGTTGGTCAATGATGCTTGAAGCCATTCTAATGCGTGGTTTGTGCTGCACATGTAAGATTTTGAACGTGCCTCAACTTTGGTATGACAATCTAAAATGTGTTCAGCTAATTTTTCATTCTGTCTGCAGGTTGTACGTTGCTGGTCTTTTAAAAGGGCTTCTGGATTTACTGTTTCTAAGTACTGTTTGAAACGACTTCAAGGGCAGCCCAAAGTTGAGATAGATGAGGTGACCTTTTCATCCTGTTTTATAACCTAAAAAAAGAGTTTACCTGCTTTTTCATGGGTCATAATAGTTTTAATTTCAAATATCATTTACTGATGTGCAATGAGAATTCTATTAGTTATGCTTGCATGAACATTGCTCCTCCTTGTTTTTGTTCCCCACTTTTCTTTCCTTTTGTTCCGTGTAAGTTATTTTTTTCAGAATAACACCATCTTATAGTATATTTCCCTCTAATATTTGCTTGTTTAGTCCAATTTGTAGTTGGATGTGGTAGTATATGTCCCACACTTTACTGCAAATAAATCAGTAGTTTAAAGCTATCTGCTTTTCAGACATTGCTATGTTGAGTTTTCATTATCCAGTGTGTTCACCCTGGTAGTCATTTGTATTACCTGAACCTATTTGTTGCTTCTGTTTTAGGTTTGTTTTGAACGAGAAAGAACTATTGGCAAATTGCATGGGTATGAAACCTGTAGAGCTGTGATGTAACTGAATATGTACTATTTTCATGTGCATGCTTACATTGTGTAAACTGACAGAAGTATTTTATTTTCCAAGCTTGGTGTGTGAGGACATCTCTTTTGGGAAAGAAGACATACCTATTCCTGTTATCAATATAATTGATAATCCTCCTATAGCACCTCCAGGCAAGTTACTGACCAACTTATGCTTTTATGAGGGAAGTGGATCTGGTAGACAGACAGACTATATATATATATATATATGTATATCAAGAATAGCTTTGCTTATATATTCAGGCGAGTGCTGCGCCACAAGGAAATTTTTTTTTCTCAATGGAAAAAATCATTTACCTTTTGCATTCCATGCTCATTTTAGTAGATGATGCACATGAAAGACAATTTTTAGCATCACGTTGCTTGTGTTTATTTCGAAAAATGTTACAGTCTCACGAGATTGTATTTGGTTATCAGACTCAAATCCTACATCCAGTTTTCCCATCAGTTGGGAGAGGGAGATGAAAAGCTATGAAGCTTTTATTTATAAAAGATAGAATTACATTTTTTTTACTATTATTTGCTTATTTTAAGTTACCTATAGGCTATAGCAGTTAAACATGAACAGCAACAAAACTTGAGATAGCGTAGTTTAATAGTGAAACACAACAACTTGGTTTTTCTCTCAACTAATTTTGCAAGATTGAGCCCTTTGATTTTCTTTCTGATTGTAACTCAATCAACAACTTGGTTTTTCTCTCAACTAATTTTGCAAGATTGAGCCCTTTGATTTTCTTTCTGATTGTAACTCAATCGCTAATTTAACATTTTACAGATCTCAAGGTTCTAGGAACATGGTAGTCACTACTTCTAATTTTCATGTTTAATGTTGATTTCATACCTTTCTCAAGTACCAAGTCAGTAATAGTCTTATTTATTATTATTACTCAATTAGGTCTTACTGTATTGATAAGATGGCAGTTGTTGCGGTTATAGCATTGGCTTTCGTCAAGTTTTTGACATCTACCTTTTCAAACATGCTCTCTTTTAGCATACCATGAAAAATGGTATTTGTTTCAATGGAACATAATTTATGTTTAAAGGAATTGACCTTTGTTAGGGCAGTCACTGAATCCCATTAGCAAGCATTGCCAATAAAAGTGCTAGCACCAAGTTCGCAGGGGCTCTAGGCTTAAGTGGCTGTCATGCATCCGAGACAAGCAAGATTTCCAACTGTAATATAAAATGTAAAGTGACCTATATTAAGAGATTTATAATATATAATACCAGATTGCGTGGTAGCACAAAGACTTCAGATCCAACTTCCACATAAGCTGTTATTTTAGTTTGGAATATCTAATAGCATCCAAACAAATCATCAAGCCACTAAAACATAACTTTTCACTCTATTCTCTTGTACTTTGAGAATATGCTGGTTATTGGTAGTATTTATAAGAGATGGTTTTAAACAAGGACTCCATCATAATGTACTAAAAGTATAAAAACTACTTGAAATTTTTATTTGTATGTCATAATCATCATTTTCATCAAATATAAGACTTGAAATTTTATTTGTGTAGGTCATAATCATCATTTTCATCAAGTATAAGACCACCATCATACAAGGAAGATGGTCTTTCTGGTCTTCCTTTGTTGTTCCCGAACATGGCAGACATGTCTTTTTTACAGTTAAACTAATGACAGCATTGCAGCCAGGACATATCATGAAATAAATAACAATGATACATCATAATGAAAAATAAATAAAAAGAATATGATGACATCTTCATCAATGTGTTTGCTTTTTAATCTCCGAGCAGTCCTTAAATATGCAGGTTATGGGCATAATATGTAATTCATTGATGCCTCACATGGGGTTTTAAAGTCATTTTGGCCCTGAAGTGTTGTTTCTGGTGCCTGCACCGCAAGGAGATATTAGCCACAGTTTGACATAACATGATAGATTGTTTTAATAAAAGAAGAGTTTCTAGTTATCTGATTTAACTGTTCAACGAAAAGTGACTTTACACCATTGCAGGGTAGTTATTGCATTTGTTGTTTTTTCCACATGTTGTTTCATGAACTGGAGCATTTATTTCTGGTGAACAAGTGTGATAATGTGATGGTTAGTTTGTTGCAATTTTCTTTTCAGGTACATTTGATGTAATCATGTGGTACTAATAATACTATGTATTAATGTATCATTGAAATGAATGCAGACACAAACAACTTGCTCGTTTCAGGTTTAGCAATTATATTTTGAATTCTGCTGTTAGATCACAAATTTCTTGTATTTTTCTTAAGCAGAGAAACTCTTTCCTTTAGCCAAAAGAAATTCTCTATTTTCGTTTTTAGGTGATTTTTATGCCCCTTCTTGTCTACTTAGTCTGCCTTTTTTTTTTTCTTATTTGATTCGTCTCCTCTTGTTTGTTGGCATGTAAATAAACTAAACAAATTTATCTATGTTGTCTTTGTCAATGATTTAATTTTGAAATTATAGGCTTTAAATATATGAAGTCTGTTCAAGTTGCAAGAAATGTGATCATTCCTCCAAGTGCCTCTGGGTGTGATTGTAAAGGAAAATGTACAAATCCAAGGTCTTGTTCTTGTGCTCGACTTAATGGCTTTGACTTTCCATATGTGGACATAGATGGTGGCAGGTGAGATTTGAATGTGGTTCTTATAAAATTCATTTTTTTGGTTGCCTATTAGAATGGTACATTTTCATTTTGGAATAAATGAAGTTTTGCTTATTAAAGCAAGGGGAAACAATGAGATATTTTTTTCCACACCAATTGTTTTTATTTGTGCTGATACTCAACTCACCCAAGTCCCAGCCAAAAAACTAGATGGATCCAGTCATATGCATTAGTTTCTCTCTGATTTTTTTGGGCCAAACTTTCAATAAGTTGAGGCACAAAAACTTTTTACCACTTTAAGCCCTTTCATTATAGGTGTAACTTTTACCTTGTTGTCTCGTCTATATTTCAACCTTTTCGTGATCCTTTATCACGTCTCAATTGTCTGATCCAGACCTTTCGTTTTATAAAGATTGATGTGTTTATTCTTCATCTCGCCCATATTGGTTCTTGAATATATTTATTTTCAGATTGATTGAAGCAAAGGATGTGGTGTTTGAATGTGGTCCTGGATGTAGCTGTGGTCCTAGTTGCATTAACCGTGTCTCTCAGCGGGGATTGAAGTACCAACTCGAGGTATTTACATACGATCACGAACCAATTTCTTTTCAGCACAAGTCATCATATTTATTGGGAAATTTTCTTTGAACAGGTCTATCGTACAGCAGACAAAGGATGGGCTGTTAGGTCTCGGGATGTAATTCCTTCTGGTGCTCCAGTGTGTGAATACTTTGGAATTCTTAGGAGGAATGATGAGTTGGATAACATATCTGGGAATGAATTTATATTTGATATTGACTGCTGGCATACAATGAATGAAATAGGGGGAAGAGAGGTAATAGTACCATCGTTCAAGGAAATATCATTTCCATATCTTGTCTTCACCTGTGTATGACATGGGATTGTGGGAAGCATGAAAATTATAATACTAACTTCTTGTGATAGCTTTATATACTTGGTCATGGACAATATTTTGCAAGTACTTGTCTTGGTGGTCTTTCTGCATGCTGACACTGAGAGTTAACAAGTAAATATCAATTGTTGTTAGCCTGTGGCGCTATTTACCAATTTGTTCTCATTCTTATTCAAGACCAAACTGCACTTGGAATATGCATTGGACTTTTTGTTTAGCTTGGTTCTTATTATAGTGCTCGTTGCCAGAGCCTTTGTGTTTCCATTACTTTCATTCCTTCGCAATGGAATTTAAATGTATTTTCTTGCAGAGGCGACAAGGTGATGGGTCTGCACCTGCAATTGATCCTCTGAAGAAAGTAGATGTCAAGATGGATGAAAGTGAATCTGAGTTTTGCATAGATGCGGGCTCTTGTGGTAATGTTACCAGATTTATTAATCATAGTTGTCAGCCCAACCTCTTTGTCCAGTGCATTTTGAGTACCCACCACGATATCCGACTTGCTCGAATTGTGCTATTTGCAGCAGACGATATACTTCCTATGCAAGTAAGGTTCCATTTATGTTTCTCTTCCATTCACTTTGGATTGGATATCTTTTTAGTTTTTTTTCTGGACATTTGTTATAAGCTCCTTTTTTTCCACATGTTAAACTGGTATTGTAATAAATAGTTTTTGTTTTGGTATGATGTTATAACCTGGGCTTGCTTTTTATGTGATATGTCATCTCCTAGGCATCGACAACAAATTAAGAATAAAAGATGGTTTTTCTATGTTGCAAACAGGAACTTACTTATGACTATGGCTACGTGCTTGATAGCGTTGTTGGTCCTGATGGGAAACTAAAACAGTTGCCGTGCTGCTGTGGCACAGATGAGTGTCGGGGGCGCTTATATTAGGTAAGACAAAGGTTTATAAACTTAGATTACAGCTTGTATACACATTTCTTTTGAAATAAATAAAAAACACCATTGCTTGGTATTTCTTTGTATAGAATGCTTATTATATACAATAATTTATTTGGCTTGATGTGTTTTGATTGCTGAGATGCATCAAATTAATAATATTTTCTGGTGAATATCTTATTTCTTGTCATTCTTTGGTAATTATCAAGGGGTTGCATTTTGTTACATCTCTACCTGTATGCGTGCGGCCTTTTGGACTGCATCTTGCCTCCTCCACAGGGTCTTACGATAGGTATTAGTTATTTATAGTCAAAACGAAATCGGTGTATACTTGGTAGAAATGTAATGAAAGCAAGAGCAATTAATATCGTTTTTTACCTGTTTGATAAAGTCAGAACTATCTGTGTTTTATGCTTTCACTACACTAATAATTATTTTTTTTGGATTGCGTAAAATCCAATGTTTGAAATGATAGGTCCTACTTTCCGCGCGTATAGTGCCAATCACCAATCCTGGTATGAATTAATTCTTCTGTGGAAACTAAAGAAAAGGGTAGCACGATTGTGCACCAGAAAAGTGAAATCCCAAGGAATTGGGTAATATCCTTTGATAAAGAAGGCTCATTTCTTTTCTTACCTTTTCCCTCCATTACATTACTGTTGGTACAAATGGTTGGTCAAATATTAATCAAACCATAACATGACTTCATTAGCACGATTCTCACTCATAGGGCGAATTGTAGCCAGCAACACCGCAAATCACAGGAACCTCACTAACGTGTCTTTGCTAATTGCTATTGATTATCCCCCAAGGGGTGTCCTAGAGGCTTTCTTCAATGCCAAAACTTGTTCATGGATGTTGCTATCATTCATAGAACCTCCAAACCTCTTCAAAGCTGCATACCGGTGTTTAGGCTGCTTCATTGGATGTGCTTGATGGGGGGAGGGGGGGATTATTTTGGTGCATTGGTGGCCAATAGAAGTGCATAATTAAGGTTGTGTTGTGGGAACTTACGGTTGATGGAAACATATCTACCTGAACTGGAGCTGTCATGTTGATGTTTGCTGCCTGATCATTGTTTCCTTGAATACAGGCAAAGAGGCTGACACATGATCCATGACAAGGTTGAATTCATTAGCGAAACTTAAAAGGCCAGGTAAGCATGGATGTGATTGTAATTTGAAGTGTGGGAGGATTGGTCAGGTGGTGTTCCATACAGGCATACACACATGGATGAGAGAATCTTTGAAAGCCTAGGAATTGCGCTAGCGTGGCAAATGATTAGCTTATTATTAAATTATTTAAAGCTCAAGATTTTTAGGTTATTTGATAGTATGATTGAATTGTATTTTTATAAATTTTTATTTTTAAAAAAATTCAAATTAATATTGTTTTATTTTATTTTCTATTTTAATGTATTTTCAAGTAAAAAATATTTACCATACTTTTGAACATGCAGTTTGTCTCTTGGACTAAATTAAAGTCATGTATGAACATTTGGCAATCCAACACCTGTTACCAAAACTTGGTGTGAGAAAAACATTATAGGACTAGAGAAATTTTAATAATGTGGATTATAATGGTAGGTTGACACTTTTTCCCTTCAACAATTCAGCCCAAAAAACTAAGTTCCGATATTTTACAGGAGTTTTATTTATCATTTCCATTTTGAATGGGGATACAAAGGTCTTTTCAATCTTATTTTAACAATGAAACACCTTCACTAGTAAAAACAAAGCATTGGATAATTAGTTGCTAAAGGGTTTTTTAAGATTTCATATTTTTAGCAGCATGAAATTACAAACTTACCTTTTGTATCAAAATTAATTTAGGCTTCCTTTGTGGGCTTCTTGTATGTTTCATTTTTTTTTGCGCTATAACCAGATTAGTGGAGGGACAAATCGGTTTTTTACAATAATTAAAAAATATATAAAAATTTGAAACATGTTAGGCACGTGCTTAGCATGTAACAATGTGTGAAAGGATTTTATTGTGTTTTGGCAGCACGTGTGATGTCCTTTTATTGTGAAGAATTATCATCCACTATTTAATGGCATCCTCTTCCCTCACCGGTGGTGCGTGTTTGGTTTTTTTGGACAAAATATTACCAAAAACATCTTTCTTTTTTCTCTCCTTAAAATTAGCAATTGACATCTAAAATTTCATAAAAGTCCTTTTAGTTGAAAATATTTGACTTTGTTCTCTTAATTTTTTTATGAAACTGAATTTGCTTTTAAATTTAGCCTTTCAATTCAAAATCATCCATTTTTTTTTTAGATTTTAAGTTTGATGGGTTGATTAGTGGACTTAAATCTTTTTTTGACTTATAATTGTTATTTTTCTCAATCATTTCTATCTCATAATTGAAAAATAATTTTTTTTACAAAACTAGATTTTGCGTTTTTTTTTGTTTTTTTCAAATTATCCTAATTTTTTCTCTCTCTATTATTATTATTTTTTTTTTATCATTCAATATTAATTTTTCCATTTCTTTAAAATGTGATAAGCATTGATTGAACATTATTCTCTCTCTCTCTGTTTTTATCGGACTCTTAGCAAAACACAAATGACCTAGCTAAAAGAATAAATTGTGCGAAGGTGTATCATCCTCTTTTTTACTGTACTGTATCAAACAAACAAAAGCGAGATTGATCCATTAGTCGAGGAAAAGAGAGATTAAATAAACAGAAAAATGGTGTGTGATCTCTTCCACTGAAGGATACTTAAATTCGTGGGGGGGAGAGATGCTTAAATTTTGATACCATCACCAGCTGCATCCCTGTACGTAGGAGTCGAGAGTTGATTGGTGAAGTGGAAACCCAAGTAGCCATTCTGTAACATCTTATTTCACTATCTTTTTGGCTGTGAATCACTTGATATGGAGCACACTCAAGGCGCAAACATTTGCTGGCTCGTCATGGACTCTGCGGCCTAGCCCTAACATAATAGTAGTACACAGAGCCAGAGTCAAAAAGACCAAACCAATCCTCTCCGATCTTGCCGAATCCGTTTGGCCTCTTCCTCGAACCACGGCTCTCTATTTGGTCCTGATTATTTGTTTACAACATGTGAATAAAAGCATTGAAGAAGGCATATAACTTGTAAAGTGTGGTATGCATGTCTTGCTTTTTTCTTAGAGCTGGTGGCTACATGAACGGTCACTTAGCGTTTTTCTTTTGGGGAGTTCCCATTTTCCGATCTGTTGTTACTGTGTTAGTCTTTCGTCAACGATGAGATTACAAATTCATAGCCATGTTGACGACGGCACACACGTTGATCCCTTTCACCGAAACGAAAGAGTAAATTTGATCCAACTCCTTTTTCTTCCAATCCAGAGACGTTATAATCCCCCACGCCCAGTTACCCTTAACTCAAGAAATGATTAAATGCACGACTAAAAATTTATATAACTGTTAATTTTAGACTTCATGAAATTAATTTAAATATATACAAGCTAATCCAAATAACCACTTAATAAATAAAAAAATCAAATGCGTTTTCGATGGTGAATTATTGGCCCACTTCCACTACTTGTGATTGTCTTTTACTTGGACCCGTCAAACGATGAGAAAAATGCATGCCCAGCTATATATTCACTTGCATGCCATGGACTCGGCGTACCTAGCAGGCGTGTCTTGACGGGTTACTCACAAATTAGTAAAACCACATTGCGTGTTCTAGATTTCTTATGTATTGCCTAAATGGAAGACCTGGGTAACAAATAGGGCAATGATGCTTTGACACATGCCTATCACACTGTCTTTTGTTACCTAATACCGTATCTTATGGGCCAAAAATTGGTCTGAAACCATCTTGTAGCCATTACTTAGGGTGACATGCCACCAATAACTCATTGTCTCGGGACTGTGGGATAATAAATATTTGTTATTAGGCTTTTCTTGAGCTAAAAAAACCCCGCCAGCACCATTTTTTATTGACAAATAATCCCATTTGTTGTAATTGGATATTAGGAGGAAGCATGCTGCTAGGATCCTCAAATTGAAAGTTTGGACTTCACGAACGTATATGCTTACTAAGTCAAAACCCACCACCTTGATCCACACAATCAAGTTCATATATATATCAAAATGAAGTTTCTACGTTTGAAACGTTCCTAGTAGCACTATATATTTGAGACCGAACCCCATAGGCATGCTCAATTATCAAGTCAGCGACGGAAGGGGAGATTTGTCTAGTTAAGTATTGCTGAGATGTATTGTTTCTTATGGCTAATGGGATATTGTAAGGATTACGGACATCATCTATCTCTATATTGGTATGATATTGTTCACTTTGGGCCTAAACCCTCATGGATTTGCTCTTGGGTTATACCCAAAAGGCCTCATACCAATGAAGATATTTGTTCATCCTTATATACCCTTGATCCTTCCCATTTCTAACCAATGTGGGACTTTGGTCGCATACCCAACAATCCTCTCCTCGAACAAAGAACCACCGAGCCTCTCCTCAAACGATCATTTATCCATCCACTCTCTGCCAACTAGGATTTTTCATCCTCTACTTCTCTCTACTTCATCGTGTTGGGGTCAGGACATGTCCATGAAGCATCTGGAGAGCACTACCTGACTTGAGAGTTTTTGCTCTTTCTAGGTCAACTCCTCTTCACCGTGTTGAGATCAGGACACGTCCATGAAGCACACCGCCTATCCAATAGAGCTGATTCATGGATCACATCGTGATTTAATTAGGGCCCACCACCTTTTGTTAGGCATTCCGAGGATTCATCCATCATGGCTAACTCTGGGGCATGGCTCTGATACCACTTGTAAGGATTACGGACACCACCTATCTCCACATTGGTATGATATTGTCCACTTTAAGCCTAAACCCTCATAGATTTGCTCTTGGGTTATACCCAAAAGGCCTCATACCAATGGAGATATTTGTCCATCCTTATATACCCTTAATCCTCTTCATTTTTAACCAATGTGGGACTTTGGTCGCATACCCAACAGATATGACTGACTTCTATGATGAATTTTTTTTCCTTTTCTTAATTATTTTCATTATGTTTTTTTTTATATATAAATTGGGGTTAAAAGTCTAAAACTAAAACAAATAAGGAAATACTGGTCCAATCAAATTCTAATAAAAAACCAACACAAACACTCTGAAAGATGTTCATAGTCAAATCATCCCTGAAGGATGCTTGAAAAAACCAAAACTAATGAGCTAATCAGCGGCATCATTAGCTTCCCCATAAATATGTTGTCCAGTTCTATTTCCAGTCACTAATGTTAAATGATTTCGCTACCTCATGTCTCCAAATGACCAAATTCAACGGTTTAGATCAAAGATTTTTATTAAAAAGCCTCTGGTTGAATTCTAAAAACAGAAACGAATCAAGAATGAGAGAATTAGATTTCATTGTGTAGCTTAAAGGTCTTTGTACCCTCTCAAAGGGAAAAAAAAAAACACTAAAATAG